TCGAGGTCGTTGACCACCTGCCCTCAGAGGTCGTTTCGGATCTTGGCGTACAGCTTGTTTGGACTTCGCCACTTCCAAGGCCAAATCCTGACGGAGACGTTCGTTCTCGGCGATCATGTTCTCCAACCTCTGTTCATTTTGCTTTGCTTGTTCCATGATCGCTTGCATTACCTTATGCTCTGAAGTCAAGGGTGAGGCGAAGTTCAAAGCACGTCTTGCGGGGATAGTCTCCGGTTCAAGCATGTTTGTTGGAGTGAGGTCGTCTCTCTGTGTGGTTTCATCAGTGACTATCGGAGGGTCTTCTGTTACGCCCACCATGGATGTATTTGAGTATTCCCACAGACGGCGCCAATTGTGGATGGATCTGCATTGCCCAGAGAGAGTCAGCTTGTTTCGGCTAGACCTCGTTGGTGATGAATCTGGCCCTGAAAGATTTCTATAATTGGTGGAAGCTTTTGATCGAAGCCAGCTCCAGTTTATAATACCACCTGACAGCCAATGGTCCTAAACTGCTGGGAAATATTCGGCACATGAAGGCCTCGTCATCTGCATGCAATGTCATGGCTTGCTTGTAGTAACGGATGTGATCGGTGGGGTCTGATTCTCCATCATAAAGAGTGAACGATAGAGCTTTGAGCTTTTTGGACAGAACTGCCCGGGCGATCCGTCGCACAAAGGGATCATGTTGGCCTTCTTCATCTGAACTGTTTCTTCTGTGCTTATGCTTTATACGTGGACTCTCTTCAGAGGAACTGGAAGTTTCGGGTCGTCCCTTCTTCTTGGGCTCTGGGGATAATGAGTTGGAATCGCTGTCAGTGTCTTGTTATCGGGCTCGAGGTCGTTGACTACCTGCCCTCAGAGGTCGTTTCGGATCTTGGCGTACAGCTTGTTTGGACTTCGCCACTTCCAAGGCCAAATCCTGACGGAGACGTTCGTTCTCGGCGATCATGTTCTCCAACCTCTGTTCATTTTGCTTTGCTTGTTCCATGATCGCTTGCATTACCTTATGCTCTGAAGTCAAGGGTGAGGCGAAGTTCAAAGCACGTCTTGCGGGGATAGTCTCCGGTTCAAGCATGTTTGTTGGAGTGAGGTCGTCTCTCTGTGTGGTTTCATCAGTGACTATCGGAGGGTCTTCTGTTACGCCCACCATGGATGTATTTGAGTATTCCCACAGACGGCACCAATTGTGGGGATGTGGTTTGGAAATACTCTTCTGATCCTGGGGGACGCTCGTGATCCTCTGCTAGTCACCAAAAAAGAAATAAACACTCCGGTCGGGGGTGCCAGAATTAGCACTCCGACGGGCAAGTCAGTCTCTACACTCTGAATTACTTGTATTTTAAGTTAAGCGAAATGGTTCTCACATACCTTTCTGTGACTGAAGATCTTATATTTATAGTATTCTCTTTGGGCCTTAGGGCCTGGCCCATCCCTGATCCTTTACATGTACTTCTACTCGGCCTTTGTTCTACTGTTCCGAATGCCGACTATTTTATTCGGCTCTTCAATTGACTAGGATCAATGCCGAATAGAGGTTATGTTCTGGACCGGACTGGTCCACTCGTCTCTATTGATCCAAGGAAATTCAGCTCCCACAATAATAAAGGCATGAATTTTCGTAGATAACACAATACGATTCTCATAACATTTCCATATTTTGCCATAATCAAAATATTGTTTAGAGTTAGCTCAACTATCAAGAAACCCTAACTCTCATCAACATGCTTTTCAGAAACTCTTAAGAAAATCATGCTTTTATGCGATAAGAAAATACCACATCTCTATCTATAGCAAAATATTAAAAAAACCAAGGAAATTCCTACCTTTAGAAAAGAAGAAGAGGAAAGTCCCCAAAACCAACTTCGTCGAAAATCAATCTCCACTGGTAAAAAAGATAACACGCTCGTCATTTTGGCCTTAAGAACCACTATCAAAATCTCAATGGATCTGTGGGATCAAAAGAAAATGTGAAGTTCGGTGGGTTTTTGTAAAGAGAGATGAGAGAAAAAAGGGAGAAAGGTTGTAGAGAGAGAGAGATGAGAGATGAGAGATGAGAGAAATTAGGAAAAGAGGGGAAGAAATTGGCAAAAGGAGCTGAGATGTATGAAAATCGAGGTCAAACATGCGTCTAGTCGCACGTGCGAAAGTCTTCGCCGCACATGCAGAACTCCCCCGCCACACGTGCAGATTCTCGCAGTCACCAACCCAACTTTTCCTCTTGTTGCTGCACATGCGTGACAAATCACCGCACATTCGGAACCTCCTACTGTATGTGCGAGCACACTTCACCGCAAGTGCGAACCACTTGTTCTGACCCGATCTTCCCGAGGTGATTCCACGCCTCCAATTTTTGTCCTTACGCCCAAAACTTAAGATTTCTAGCTTGTTCGATAATTCGAGGAGCGTAACCCAAGTTCAATTTGCAGTCACCAATACGACACGTGACATTCACGACACCAAAGGTAAAACAAACAGTCCGAAAAGCCACAACCGAGTTAGGTAAATGACTCGGGACATCACAAATACTACTCCTCTTTTTTTTAACCTTCACTACATTGCCCCATGACCACCACCACTATATCTCGATCTCCATCACCATTGCCATTGGCGTTGTAGCCAACGCCACCAATGCACCTCCACCACTATCACTATTTTACTATCACAATATAGAAATTGTAACTATGACAATATAAAAATTAAAAGATACAATTTAAAAATAATAAATTTCAAATTTAATTTTGTACATATCAAGCAACTTATTTTAGCTCAACACTTAAATTTTTACCAAACAATTTTCAGCTTATAAAATTTTATAATCAATTTTCAATACTTAAATTTCCGCATTCAGTTTTCAATTTTCATAAGTTTTACTTGAACATGACTTTGGTAAAATTTAAAATTATAAATGCACTTAATTCAAATGTATTTAATTTTTTTTTGGGTGCAAATATGAAAAAGTTCTTTAAAGATAATAAAAAAAAAGGATAAATTATATTCATTTCCTTTAGGTTTAAAAAATACAATTTGTGTGACACTTTTGACATAATTACAGCAGCCTAGATTGAAATTTTAATTCACATTACACTTTGGTAATTTTTCATTAATAATTTGTGAGTCATATAGATAAAAAAAAATGATACTATCATTTCTTTTATACTACAATATATATTTATCTTTAATTATTTCAATTCTTGCCTACCATATGCATTAATTTTTATCACTTTAATCTTCCTACAAGCTTCTAAAAGGAAGTCAATATAATTCTGTCAAATTTCTAGAGTTAATTGCATTTTTTTTTCAAATCTCATTGGAAGTAGGTGTAATTTAGGGGAAAAAAAATTAATCTTCCTACAAGCTCCTAAAAGGAAGTCAACATAATTTTGTCAAATTTCTAGAGTTAATTGCATTTTTTTTTCAAATCTCATTGGAAGTAGGTGTAATTTAGGGGAAAAAAAAAACACATTTATATATTTTAATACATATTTTTTTTATCTTTAGTAATTTATTTTTAAATTTATTCATAAATTTTTTAAGTGTTTTAAAAAATAAAAAATAATTGATTAATGTAACGCAATTTTTTCAAAGGTTTTTTTTTTTTTTTAAAGTCACTGGTATTAAGATTTTATAGCATAAAGGGCATCTAATATTTTCATAATGTCTAAGGTGCCTCAATTTAATCCAAAGAAATTTCATCCAAAGAAATTCTGGACTTCCAAAGAATTTCTCTGGGTTCAACCCAAAGAAAATTCAAATTTCTCTGGTCCAGAATTTCTCTGGAACTATAAAACTCTGATTTGATCAATTTGTCTTTGGTTCTGCTGCTGCTGATTCAATCACAATTTCCTGCACAAATAAATTAATAGTTCTTCTATGAGTTTGTGATAGATTTTATTTAAACTTAATGCTATGAATTTCTCTGGGTTCAACCCAGAGAAAATTCAAATTTCTCTGGATAGAAATTTTTTCCAGAGAAAATGAATGAAGAATTTCTCTGGATCACTTTAAGCCAAAGAAATTCTCTCAAAATCAATGAAATTTCTAAAGAAACATTTCCAGAGAAATTCTCTTTAACCTAGAGAAAATTCAGGAATCCACATTTGGATCATCTGCAAAGAATGAACATATGTTGTCTTCACAATCTTTAGATTTCCCGATGTATTCAGAAGCTATCTCTTGTGGCATTTCAGATTGAAGTTCGGATCTCTTCAACTCCACTTCAGGTTAGCTCTTTAATTCCAAATCTGTAGAACTAGAGTCAATCAAATGAAGATCCATAGAATTGGAGACAATCAAATATGAATCGGAGGAGCCGATTGAACAAGAATCAGAATTGATGGGGTCAAATCGCACCAAAGTAGAAACAACAGAAAGACGAATCGAAGAAGTACTCGTCTTCCAGAAATGAACACAAGACTCAATTTCAGATTTGCAAATTTTTCACAATTTAAACCTTCATGACAACCTGGAGAGAACAACAAGTTTTCATGAACAATCCAGAAGAGTTCGTAACTCTAAAACTCAACTTTAGATTGTGCGGAAGGTTAGTTCGCACAAGATCAAACACCAAAATAAACTCTTCTATTTCCAGAGTTTGTAATCAAACCAAGAACAACAGCAGGTTGGACTGACTCACTCCAGGTTGCGCGTCTCTCACCTTCTTTTTCGGCGCTGTCCGAATCAGTGTTGAACAACCCTCCGAGTCGGTGTTGAAACGGTTCATGGTTGATCGAATTAGAGTAGACAGAGACAGAGAGCAAGAGAGAGAGAGAGAAAGAGAGATTACATCTAATGGTGGAAGTAAAAAGTTTAGAAATGTGTTCATGTGTGTAGAAGGAGAAAGCGAGAGATTGAAATTTCTCTGGATATATAGGTTTAAGATTAAGAGACCTTAGAAAAAGTACCTTAAACTAACTTTCTCTTTTTTAACCTGACGTTTTTCTTAAAATTTGCCAATGGGATATTGCCACGCGAGAATTGATAACGGAACGAAGCAAACGCCCATCTTCTCTGTTTTATCTCTCCCTGTTCTGCCTCAAATTAATTCAACAAGAAATGATAATTCCACTGCAACTCCTTCCTCCTCTAACCCAAACCCAAACCCAAACCCTAACCCTAAACCGTCTCCCCTCCCTCAACCCTTCCCCGAAACCCCATCCCAAAACCCTCCTCAACTGCCTCACTCCTCTCCAAACTCCCTCCGCACTCACTCCCCACCTCACCACCGCCACCGATCCGCCGCAACCAACCTCCGACTCCGGCCTCCGCTTCCGCGAGAAGCTCCTCTACCTCCAAACCCTCAAAGTCAATCCCTCCAAAGCCCTCCACAAGAACCCTAATTTCCGATCAGCCCCACTCGACTCCCTCAAATCAGTCGAGAAATGCCTCTGCTCCATGGGCATCGACCGCTCTGCCTTGGGCCGCATCTTCGACATGTACCCCCAGCTCCTCACCTGCGATCCCTACTCCGATCTCTACCCTGTTTTCGACTTCCTATTGAACCACGTCAATATCCCTTTGCCCGATATCCGAAAATCGATCATTCGCTGCCCGAGACTCTTAATTTGCAGTGTAGATCACCAATTGAGACCCGCTTTACGTTTCCTAGAAAATTTGGGGTTTGTGGGGAAACACGCATTAACTTGCCAGACCACACTGTTGTTAGTTTCGAGCGTCGAAAACACGCTTATGCCCAAGCTGAATTACTTGCAAGATTTGGGTTTTTCGTATGAGGAGGTGTCGAGGATGGTGTTGAGGTCGCCGGGGTTGTTGACGTTTAGTATTTCCAATAATTTTGGGCCGAAAGTGGAGTATTTCTTGAAGGAGATGAATGGGGATTTGGCAGAGCTAAAGAGGTTTCCGCAGTATTTTTCGTTTAGTTTGGAGGGGAAGATAAAGCCTCGGCATCAGCTCTTGGTGGAGAATGGGTTGTCTCTTCCGCTGCCGCAGATGTTGAAGGTCAGTGATGGGGAGTTCAATACGCGGCTGATTGAGATGCAATTGCGATTAGTTGATGAGAGACAGTCATAGTAAGTTTCCTTGCAAGTTGCAACTTATATTATGTATACTTTGCTTCGATAGTGAAAGTTCATGACTTATATGTGTTTGATGGTCAAATGTACATTTTTTGTGCAATATAGCGTCTTTATTTATTCATAAGAGACAATTGTTTGATTCCCTCAATTGTTCTCTAGACATGAAGTGGAAGTTAGAAGCTGTAGTAAGAAACCTAGTTAACAAAATTAAATTGGTCGTAATTTACATTTTGCACTTGGTTAGAACTATCATAAATATCCAAATATGAGTTGGTGTTCCTGGCAAGCTTGAAATGAAATTAGTAAATTCTTTACCATTCAAGTAAAATTTAAATTCCTCGTGCCGAATGATCAAGCATTACTGCTAAATTTGGGGGTGATAATGTGAGATAGTGGGACAGGAAAAAGCCTTTGTTTATCAGTTATTCAGTATAATAGTAAACCCTCTGTTTTGAGACTTTCAGAAGGTTTGAACCTGATTCTGCTATTTATTCAACGCCAATATTCATTTTGTTGGAGGAAACTGCCATGGTGGATTGTCCTCAAGTTATGGACTTAAAATCATTTGTTTCTTTGATGCTTGAAATCTGGGCTTCTGTTATTAGGGAGTTGAATAATTGTGAGGGCATGTATTGGCAGTGATTGATGGGAGATATCATTTATGTAATCAAACGTCTAGAAGCCTAAAGCCCAGTTCTATGGTTCTTGTTCAAATAATATTTGCACTCTGTTTTTTATGATAGGATAGCTAGAGTTTTTATATGCATGTTTCCTCTCGCCAAAGAATAATTAATCTAAAAGTATCCACTATTTGTCATAGAAACTCCTATTGTCTGATCTAACTAGATGGCCAATTTTCTACTGTTGTCACTGAGAAGCTGGTTTTTATAATCTTTCCACATACCTGAACCTTCATCAGTAATCAATTGTCACCATATTGGTCTCTTGTACTTGATAGATGTATGCATAATGTGGCCACTTTATGTAAGGGCCCTGTCATGGTTTTTGCCTGGAAAACAGAACACAATGTTGTTTGTTCAAGCCTATAGCTTTTTCTAAATTTCAAGTAATGGTCCATCCTGCTCGCGCTGCACTCTTCCTTTTTGGGCAATCCTCAGCGGCATAAGCTAGCTAGCAAAGACTTAAACAGGGAGGAAGGCTTTGTTTGGTTCACTGATATACCTACTTGTATGAACCCTCAACTTGTTGGCGATGTTTAGGATGCAAGAAGGGTGTTTTATCCCTGATTTGCATACTAAACTATGTTATTGGAGTTCCACTTACACAACAATGTTATCTCCTTGCACTCAGTTTTCTAAAATTCCACTCGTCCAAAATTAAAAAACTATCATTTTATCTCATTACGCCCTCCATATATATAGAGGTTGTGCACACTCGCATAGATGTGCTTAAAATTTTCATCGTGGGTTGAAATTGGCTGTTATATATTGAATAGGTAGTTACAAAAAACTTGTACTTCAATTCTTAGTTACAGAAGGGTAATTTGGGAATAAAATAGTGTGACACAAAAGTGTCAATGCCAACTTAGCCCTTTACATGGGCAATAGAGTAGATACCTATATCCATTGCTAACCTTTCATTTTTCTTTAGTTGTAAAAATGGTTTATTTAGCATTTAATTAGTTTTGTAATTGATTGAAATTTATGTGAAAGTGGTTTGATATGTAATCCATCAAAATTTTAACTCCAAGGGGTTGGCTTGGTGGCAAGGCCTTGGGTGTTAGGGTGTGCTCCCTCCAAGGTTCAAGGATTGGAATCTCTTAGGTGCTAACAATTCTTTAGGGCCCATTGGATTGGGGGAAAACCATTGAATTAACCGCAATGCATTTGTGCGAGAAACTCCTTGTCGAGGGCCTGTGCACCCCTGGGAATTAGTTGGACTTTGATCCGGACATCCCGGTGCCAATAATAATAATAAAAAAGAAGGTATAATCTATCACAATTTTGTTTGAAACCTTGTTCAAACTTCCAGTGCAAAATAAACTTAAAATTTTTAAACTTATGTGGCTGATCAAATTTGAAATATTTGTATTTTTTCTGCTGGACAAAACTAATTTGTTCAACTTTTAGGCATTCAGCCAGAAAAGTCCAAACAAATTAAGTTTGTTCATTTGTAAAATTCCGAATGAAATTCGAATCAAGAAAGGAAACTTTTTGTAGGTGGCTGATGGTGGGTCTAAATCTGATGACTTAAATCTTAAATTTTTGGGGCTTAAATTTAGTGGAATAAAGAGACAATGAAACTCGAATTTAGTTAGGGAAGCAAAATTTGTAGACAGTTAAGGTTTTTTTTTTTGAATTTAGGTCTCCTACTGCTGATGATCTAGCACCCCCGAATAGCACAACCTAGACTTTCCCAATCCACCACCTTGCGTGACCTAGTTCATCCCCAAAAACCAACACTGTGTACTAGAGAGAAAAAGAGAGAGAGATTCAGGGTAGAAGTAGAAAAATAAGATGGAAGAGGTGGGAGGTGACAATGATGAAGGGTAGGTGTTGAATTTGGGGAGTTGGGGAGGAGGATTGGCGATGAGGGAGGGGCTAAAAGGGGGGTTGATGAAAGAGAGAAGAGATTTGGGGGGGGGGATTGTGATGGTCGGAGAGGTGGGAGGTGATGAAAATGAACGGTAGATTTAGGGAGTTGGGGAGGAGGATTGGCGACGAGGGACAGGCTAAAAGGGGGGTTGATGAAAGAGTGGAGTGATGGGGGGGGATCGTGATGATCAAAGAGGTGGAAGGTGACGACAATGAAGGGTAGGTGTCAAATCTAGAGAGTGGAGGAGCATTGGGGAGGGGAGCATCGCGATGGTCAGAGGTGGCGACCGTGAGGGGGTGGCAGTGTGGAGGAGGTCACCGGTGGGAGTAGGGGTAGATGTTTGTGGTCGAGGATGGTGGTCGTGGCTGCTGGAGGTGATGATTGGGGGGGTGGGGTAGAGTTGGGGTTTGTTAGGTTTGGAATGCAAGGATGATGGTTGTGATTGGTATTATGCTGATTGTGAAAAGATAAAATCATAAATTTAAATTATTGTACATGGTGTAACAAGAAATGGAGTGTAATGAGAAATTTTGTTGTGCAAGTAGAATTACTAAAAGCATCCCTATGCTATTAATGTTATGTATTTGAAGTTCCAGTTTTAGACCCCCAAAAGCATCAAGTTTCCCTTACCCTACATTGAAGTCCAATGTAGAAAACATCAGGCATTAACATCCCTGGTCTGGCTATAGGATATAGATCATAGTGGGCCCAAACATCTAGAGGTGGTGGTTCTGTGATGCTCCATTTGACTTTTGCATCCCATCTGTTTGAAACTGATTTTGCCTTTTGCTCCTTTTATGGAACAATATATACCCCACTTTATGTAAGACATTGTTGACTCACTTCTCTATTACCTGAGGTAGTGTTTAATGGAATTGTAATACATTCTACAAGTGTATCAGATCCAAGTTGCAATTGCATACTATTTATGCCCAAGGCTTTTAGATTCTCAGTGTCAATACTGTTGATTTAAGCCCTAGCTAGTAGGATGCTAAAAAAGAAATGCAAAAACTTGTGAGCTTTATTATAATTGTTTAAATTCAATTAGGGTTGAATTATAATAATAAAAAGTTTAAATTTTCCCAGGTCATTATAAATTTGTAGTTATGTTTCTAAATTATTCAAATCCATATATATTTGTTCATTCTTTCTAAGGACATGTAGAAGAAAATTCTGGTTTTGGGATGTTTTTACAGAAGTAGGCTTAATTGTCAAAGTCTTTAAAAAAAAAAATATCAGTGTGTTTGGTTTGAGTTTTCTGAATTAAGTTATTTGAAAATTGAGTTTTTAGTTTTCGTATTTTTTTGTTTTTAGTGAATATTTTTAAAATTTTAAACATTTTTTTTACTTTTTTAGATGCACCTTACTTAGATATATCTAAAAAGTAAAAAATTTGTGAAAAAATATTTTAGAAAATTAATAAATATATAGAAATACAAAAAATGTATTGAATTCTTGTATTTTTTTGTATTTTTGGTATTTAGTGAATTTTTAAAAGATTTTTTTTACAATTTTTTTTACTTTTTAGGTGTATTTATGTTAGGTGTGTCTAAAAAGTAAAAAAAAAAAATTGTTTAAAATATTAAAAAAAATTCAGTAAAAATAAAAAAACATGGAAAATAAGAAAGTAGAATTTTCTAAAAAGTGTTTTTTGAAAAATGAAAACAAGCAATGGTGCTTATTATCATTTTACGTTGGATCAAGTAAAAAAACTTACTAAATTGTAATCGATGTCATTTTGTGAGATACTAATATACTATGGTGTTTTTCAACTCATTTGAAAAAATAAACTATGAAAAAATCTCCCATTTCAAAGTACTCCGATTATGCTAGTATTTGATAAAATTGAAATTTAAAAATTAAAAATTAAGTATTGAAAATTTAATGTTATTTTTTTTTTAATTTAAAAAAAGAATAAATTGGTGATAAATTCAAATTAAGAATGGTATAAGGCATTAGGTCCAGTGGATATTTTTTTGTTGGTGAGAAGTCTATTTTTGTGAAATAATTTAGTAAGAAGTCATTTTATTTGTTTTGAAGTATATTTTGTTTTCAATTTTATCCCATAATTTATCTATTGACTTTTTTTACTATGTTAGACTTTTATTATTATTATTATTTGTTCAAATTATTTTTTATATGTTTAACTTTTTTTTGACTATTGCCTCTAATTTATATATGTCTGTTGAATTTTTTTTCCTTACCTGTTTAATTTTTTTCCCTATCTGTTCAAATTCTCTGGGTTTCACTTTGTTCTTATCTGTTAAAATATGTGTTAATTCTTGTTCTATTTTTTATTCGTACAAATTTATCTGTCCAATTTTTTTATCTATGATCTGTTCAAATTCACACAGATCTTATTTGTTTGTTCTATATGTTCATCAACAACAAATAATCATCAGCAACAACAAAAAATAAATAAGTAAATAAATAAAGAAAAAAAAATAAAAAAACAGAAACTCATATCACACCACATACACACAAAAGAGGAGTGAATCTATTCATCATTAATAGCATCATCATCAACATCAACATCATCATTTGAGATCATCATCATCATCCATAGGTCTGGATTTACGGCAGCAGGCGACAAGGAGGATTTTGGAGGAGCGAATCTGTTCATATAATTCACATTAACATGTGTGTGTATATATATATATATATGCATATGTATGTATG